CAGCAGGAACGCGATCAGCAGAGGCCCCTTGTCACCAGACACACTAGCACCCGGGGGAAGGCTGGGGGCCATGACATGCCAAGCACAGGATTAAAGCAGCTTCCGCAACAACCTCATTCTTCCCAACAATCCTATGGGCTCAGGAGCATAATCACCCCCATTTCACAGATGCAGAAGTGGAGGCACAAAGAGCAGCAAACATCAACCACAAAACTCTACGGTCCAGCAGACGAGCAAAGCATTTCTGCGCAGTCAAGAGAGAAGACTGGGGCTCTCGGCCCATCGGGAGCCCGGGCTCGGGGCTCCCTGTGCCTCTTCCCATTGCTGCTCCCGTCCCTCTCCTGATGGGCTCTGCTGAGAAACGCTGGGAGCCAAGCCTGGCCTAGGGACCCGGAACCGTACCCATCAGCGGTCACTCCAAGACCCCCGGATGGCAGCTGCAGGGCGTCTTCGGGACTGCGTGACCTCACTTCCGGGAAGAGCTCTCATGAGCCGGCCTTGGCCGGACCTCTGTGAAAACACACCGCAGAGGAAAGGATGAGAGAAGGGGAAGCACATCCATGTGATCAGTTCTGACCCCCAAGAGCCAGGCTTGGGGGGAGCTCAGTGTCTGGGGAGACTGGCCCGCAAAGCTCTAGGGCGAGAAACGACAACTCGGTGAGATTCCGTCCCCTTGGTCCCTCATTCCCACTGTGTCCTCATTGGGACCCACGGCCCCAGCCTCTGCCCTGGGCCCTCTGTTCTGGCAAATGGTTCGACATTCACCAAGGGGTCCAGACCAAGACGCCTGGGTCTCCCTGTTCCTCACTCCCAGGCCCTCCGCTGCCTGAAGGCTGCTCAAAGCCCTCTCCTTGCTGTCCACACGCTGGCCCCAAGGAAGCCTGTCCTGGCTCCTGGGGAGGGGGCTGCTGTGAACGCCCACGCGTGTTGTACACAAGGCCGTTCAAGTAACTGGGGTTGGGAACAGCTATGTCTGCCTGTAGCGGGAGGTGATGACCACTCACACTCCGGCGGGACAGGAGCCCTTCCCCAGGCCACCGGGTGTTGGTGGTCGACGGCCCCCTCCAGAATTCACCCCAGTGAAGAAAGCTGGCCCGGTCCCTATCCAGAGTCTGGACGATGAGGGGGCCTAAGGGCCTTACCACCTGCCTGAAGGGTCACCCAGCCCCCAAGCTCCCCTTAGCATTGGCTGAGCCTCTGTCACAAATTTTGGGAGTTCAAGTCTTCCATTTGCCCACCCTGCTGTGCTCACCCTCTGGGTGTCGTTCCCAAGGGTGCTCCCCAGCAAACCTTCCCCACGCACAGCTCAGCTGGGACTACACCATCCAAGGAGGGCAGATCAATGGCAGGGCCTTGAGTCTACTGAGCTTTCTCAGACAAAACACACACACACACAGAATATAGAGACTTCTCAACGGGCTCCACCAAGAAATGCTGAGCCTCAGCCAGGACTGGCTGGCAAATGTCCTCGGGAACCCAAACACCAGGCCCATATGTATATATTCACATACATAAACTTTCTGACACGTTCTTTTCTGCCCTGGGCTTTCTCCTTTTTCCCTTGCATGGGCACAAGCAATTGAGCGAGGCCTGTAATCAAATATTCTTGTTATAATGTGAAATGGAAAAAGCAGTATATTTTCAACCATCTCACCGTGATGCCTGATATAGCAACAAAACATTGCAGAATATTCTGGCTGTTTTCAATTTTTTGCAGTTATAAAAAAACTGCAGTGAACATTTTTAGGTATAAAACCTTTTTCTACCTATGTGATTTTTCCTCAGGCAAACCAAAGGTCATGGACACAACAAAACTGAAGCTATAAACCAGGTCACGTTAACCAGAACCCACGTCTTCCTGGCAACACAGGCTTCATCCTGTGAATTCTCCCCAGGTGTGTGGGAATCTCAGGAGGAGTCTCTTGTGTTTGGGAGCGAGGTCACAACCACCATACCCTGTCCCTACCTGCCCTGGAGTGCCCACTGGTGTCTGCAGGGCACTGCCCGACACAGCAATCCATGCACAAAGGTTCCCTCGTACCTACAAGCAGGGCCTTCACGTGGAAGTGGGATACAAGCCCAGTCCTCCCACTGCCTCGTGCCTTTTCATTTCACCAAGTTCTTCAGCTTTGCGGGAAGCCATCTCTCCCCAGGGCTCAGGCCTGCCCCCGGGTCTAAGCTTGGGCACAACCCATGCTGTTTCCTCAATTGCTCCTCTGTCCCCGTGCAAATAAACCTGTGGCCTTCAGATACAACCAGACCTAAATCAATGTCTAGGAGAGGAGCCTCCCTGGCTGTCCAGTGGTTAGGACTTCGCCTTCCAATGCAGGGGGTGCGGGTTCGATCCCTGGTCGGGGAGATAAGATTCCACGTGCCTCACGGCCAAAAAACTAAAACATAAAACAGAAGCAATATTGCAACAAATTCAATAAGGACTTTAAAAATGGTCCACTTCAAAAAATATCTTTAAATATCTAGGAGATATTCTTTTTTTATATAAATTTATTTATTTATATTTTTATTTTTGGCTGCATTGGGTCTTTGTTGCTGAGCGCGGGCTTTCTCTAGTTGCAGCGAGCGGGGGCTGCTCTTCGTTGCGTTGCACGGGATTCTCACTGCGGTGGCTTCTCTTGCTGCGGAGCACGGGCTCTAGGCGCACGGGCTTCAGTAGTTGTGGCACGTGGGCTCAGTAGTTGTGGCTCGCGGGCTCTAGAGCGCAGGCTCAGTAGTTGTGGTGCACGGGTTTAGTTGTTCCACGGCATGTGGGATCTTCCCGGACCAGGGCTCGAACTCGTGTCCCCTGCATTGGCAGGTGGATTCTTAACCGCTGCACCACCAGGGAAGCCCTAGGACATATTCTTAAAAATATAATTACAAGGTCACAGTGTACGAAGTTTAAGGCTCTTAATATACGTAGCTAAATGACCTGCCCCCACCTGTACTCTAGCCAGTGGCTCAGAGGCCCGTCAGGATTCAGTGGTTTAATGAAGTGACCTAAGTTCACTGATTCACGAGGGCAGAGGGTTCGTGGGAAAAGTGAGTCTGGATCTGAGTTTATTAAAGAGGAAAGGGTACGGTTTAAAATAAGGAGCACCTTGAGGCAGGGCAGGTGTTATGCAAAAAAAGCCCAGGGGTCTGGGGGAGAAGCATGTGGGGAAGAGTGTGCAAAGGGCTGTGAGCAGACCTGCACAGGTGAACCCAAGCCAGGACTGGAATAAAATGTAGACATTCCAGAATTTTAGTTTTTATAAAAAGTAAGTGGTCACTAGTGGTCAGGGAAGTGCAAACCTTGACCATAATGAGATACCATTTTACACTATTCAACTGGCAACAGTTAAGAATTCTGATGGAACCAAGTGTTGGAGGGGATGTAGACAAATAGGGTCTTTAATATACTACTAGGGGAGGGTGTAAAATGGTACAGTCGCTTGGGAAAACAACCTGGCATCATCTTGTAAAGTTAAACATTCACTTAACTTCAACCTAAAAATTCAAAAGAGAAATTCTTACATGTTTCCCTGGAGACATAAACAAGAATGTTCATAGCAGTGCTGTTTGTGCAGCGAAAACATGGAAACAATCCAAGCGCTCGACCCAAATGTCAGAAGAGTGGGTACATGAGCTGTAATAAATTTACACAATGAAATAATATTCCTCAGTTGCACCTGAGTGAACATGTCACAATAGGGTGAATCTTAGAAACACAATGTTGAGTCAAAAGGCAATTCTTAGAAGATAATATCTAGTATTTCTTTTTGTAGATTCAAACTCAAGGAAAATGAGACATTATGCTATTTAGGCACCAATGTGCATGTGTGACAAAGATTTTTAAATGGATAACGAAGATCAAAAAGACCAGGCCAAGGACTTCCCTGGTGGCACAGTGGTTACGACTCTGTGCTCCCAATGCAGGGGGCCCGGGTTCAATCCCTGGTCAGGGAACTAGATCCCACGTGCATGCTGCAGCTAAGAATTCGTATGCCGCAACTAAGGAGCCCATGAGCTGCAACTAAGGAGCCCGCCTGCCTCAACTAAGACCCGGAGCAGCCAAATAAATAATAAATAAATAAATATGAAAAAAACAAAAAAAGACCAGGTCATTACCTCCAATGGGCAGGCAGAGGGATGAGAGAAGTAGGGAGCATGTAATTGCCAGTAATGTTCTAGTTTGGGGGGAAGGGTTTCATAAGTGTTCACTTTATCATTAATTAGTTAATTAATTAATTGGAACTTGGAGTCAAGGCCAGTGGTCTGAGG